CTCCCGCCCAGACAATCTTGTCTGCCGCAGAACGCGACCACGAACGCATACGTGACCGAAAATCTCACCAGACGCAACCAGAAGGTTATGTACGCGGCTCGCCAGTTACGCAGAGAAGGCAAGATCTGGGCAGCCTGGAGCGACGACTGCGTTATGAAGATCAAGACGGCTCCCACCGCTGCAACACAGAAGATCAAGTCCGAAGAGGATCTTCGTCGGATCGTGGAACGCACGGAGACAGCCGGACGCCAGACAGATACGGCGGCACCGTCGCAGGATCGAGAGTCGCAGTCGTTCGCAGCCGCGGCTGCAGCGCCGCCGGCGCCCGGTACCCAACCCGATACCCACCAGTGAAGGGAAGTACAACACACGAAGGTAAACTACCATATGGTAGCCTGTTTCCTTTCGTTGAACCAGCTTCCATATTGTGAACAATGACAGATCTTGCGCAGGTGCTACGTTCGTGACGCACTGCATTCCGGCCAAGTCTGTGCAGTGCTTTGACCTTGTTTTGTTTTGATACGGTCTCGATTTGGATTGAGTTGAATATTGATTCAGGATATCAACATTGAGTTCAAGTTAGTGTTTATATTGATAAACAGTGGACTTGGAGGAGAGGATATTGCACCAGCACCACTCATTCCAGCATGATCAGTATTCAAAGATGATAAACTATCACTATGGAGTTTTGGTTTGTATCAGTATCATGATCTGCTAGACAACATTCCTAGATGATTCAGTGTGTAGTTGGATAGAAGGCTAAGGAAGCAGAAGTACAGGGTTGCATAGAAACAATACTTGTTTTGTTTATTAGACTCAACCTAACTTCCTACACAGAACAATGGGTAGGTTCCTGGTCCAGTGTCAGTGTGTTCTTAGTTGTTGTTCAGTCATTCGGACAACCTGCAGTTTGTTTTGTTATCATGTCATGTTCATCGCTCATTGTTCACTGTCATTGTTCATCATTGTCTGCCATCAATCTGTATGCACATCTTCTACTGTAGCTTGTGTGTTCCTTGAATCAAATGTATCCGTATCTACCTGGACAATGCCAATGCTCAGTTGGACGATCCAGTTTGTAGATGGATGGGGGCCAGGGGAGACAGCTGAAGTTCAGGGTCACATAGAAAACCAGACATGCTGTGTTAACTAGATTTGCCCTGGCTACCCACGCTGAATTCAGGCTTAGCTGGTCCAGTGCCTTCTTTGCTGGTGTTCAGACAACCCGCAGTTTGTTTTGCTACCTACCATGTCATGATCACTGCTCATTGTCCATTATCGTTGTTCATTATCGCCTGCCATTAAAGGGACCCTCCCACCTTCAAAAAAGTTAATGAATTGGCATGAAAGTGATGTCGCTCGGTTCAGAAAGAGCAAAAACGAATATCTACCAAATTTCATCGAAAAATATTCACCGCTTTTCAATATATTAGACTTTTACTTTTGTTTACTTTTTGGGATCTCCGCTGTTCCTAGCGACTTTATTTAAAAGTGCGGCATTTGTTGCGCGCAAAGCAGCGTATACCACCGCGTGCTACAAAACGTTTTAGTCAAACTTAATGACGGACGTTCGAAAGCCTGATGACGTCATCAGATTCCCGTAATGGTTAAGAGATAGGGACCACGCTGGTCCCACCCTGCAAGTAAAGGGAAGAAATTTCTTGAACACCATAAAGCTGCGGGGGTTGCGACCAGGATAAATGGTGGTTTCTGAGCCTGGCCGCAAACTTGGCTATCTCAACTCAAAACTAATGTTAAGGTGGGAGGGTCCCTTTAAGCCATAGCACATCTATTATAATTTGTGTTCCCTTGGAGTTATTTGGTTAAATATGATTAGATGTTTCTTTGCTATATCACTAATATGTTACTGCATATCACTTCTGTTGATGTATCTTTCGTTCCCACCTTGATCTCAGCCACCCTGTCACTCGCACGACCCTGACGTTCTTGTCTATATGCCCACAGCCTCCAGAAGCTGCCAGGAGCCCGCCACTGGTTCTTCATCTTTCTATCTCCAAATTGAATCTTCTCGCCTTGGCTTTCACCATAGTTATTTTGAGGTAAGCTGTGCCACAGTGGCTGGTGTATTATCCTTTCCAAACCACATCCTTCATCCCTACCTCTCACCATCGCCTAAACACCATTACACAAACCACTCACATCCTCCACCATTACACAAACATCTTCTCACAAAACACTTACGCAACACTTGTACATATCACCATTCACCACTAGCATGTATAGTATTTTCTAAACTTTTTCATTTTCTCTTTCCTGACATTCAAGCATGTTTGCTCATAAGTGGTTTGGAAACAAACCCAGGACCATCAGAACACAAGCCAATCACAATATCACATGTCAACATTAACAGCATCACTTCACCTGGACGACTAGACGAACTAGCTCTTTTCACCACTCATAACAGTATCGACATATTATTGCTGACTGAGACAAAACTAGACGAACAAGTGCACCCCAACCTATACACTCTTGATAATTACCACATCCCAATGACAAGACATAGGACTAGACACGGTGGTGGAGTTGCTGCCTACTTTAGATCAACCCTAGCTACAAAGCGACTGCCCGACTTAGAACTCGACGGAACTGAGTGGATCTGGTCACTTGTTAAGACACAGACTGACGTACTACTCATATGCTGCCTCTATCTACCACCTAATTTAACAAGTAGCCTCCTATCCGACTTCATAGACAACTTAACTGAAAGTGTTTCCCTTGCACAAGCTTACAATCCATCATCCATATTCATCCTGGGAGACTTTAATGCAGGGAATAACTATCTGAGTGACACAAACTCTATAACACATAGCAACATCACTGCATTTGAGACTCATTTAAAAGACACCATTGACTCACTTAACCTCATTCAACTCATTGACCAACCTACCCGTATCACGCAAACTACTGCTAACCTAAGGGACCTCATTATAACATCTAACACTAGTCTAGTAAAAGACAGCGGAGTTCTCCCTTCATTTTCACAAATCGATCACTTTCCCACTTTCGCTACCCTTGACTTGACACTCGCATCCCCAAAAACTACATACAAACACATCTGGAACTATACTAACATGGACACAGACAAACTTTCACATCTCCTCATTGACACAGACTGGGATTTAATCCTCGACAGAGACATAGACGAGGCGACAGCTAACTTCACCCAGACATTATTGGACGCAGCTGCTGAAACCATACCAATTAAAACAATTAAGATCAGACCACATGATAAACCATGGGTTACTGGGACACTTCGGAGAGAAATGAGGAAAAGAGACAGACTATTCAGATTGGCTCAGAGACACAAGACAGACCATCACTGGGACAACTGGAGACGACAGCGTAACTTTACCACTAGTCTTAACAAAAAATTAAAGGAAAATCATCTCAACAGTCAAGTAAATACTCTATTACACTCAAAGAAAAATCCACACGAATATCACCGGACCCTGAAAAACATATTGGGACGACCACAGACAGAGACCATACCACCACTCATAGGACCTGACGGAACTCCACTGACACAGGACTCTGACAAAGCTGACCTCTTAGGGGACTTTTTCGCCAGACAAACACAACTTGACAACGACGACCAACCCATCCCCAGGACCGCCCCCACGGACCCACCTCCCCCTCCTTTAGACAACATTGTAATAACTGAAGAAGAAGTTTTGAAAGTTCTCAATAATATGGACCCTAACAAATCTAGTGGTAATGATAACATCCCAGCAAAGTTACTAAAGATGACCGCCATCATAATTAAAACCCCATTAACTAAACTATTTAACATGTCTCTATCTCAAGGAATTTTCCCAACATCATGGAAAAAAGCAATCATACATCCAATTTTCAAAAAGAAAGGTTCTAACTCCGATCCAGTCAACTATAGGCCTATCAGTTTGCTTCCTTGTATATCTAAAATCCTTGAAAGAATAGTTTTCCAAAAAATATATGAACATCTCACCGAAAATGATCTACTATCCGACAAACAAAGCGGGTACCGCCCTAAGCATAGCACTCAAATTCAACTTATTCATTTCATTAACAATATTTATCATGCATTGGACCAAGGTAGCGACTTAACAGCTATTTACCTAGATATAAGCAAATATTTCGACAAAATTTGGCACAGAGGTCTCCTTTTTAAATGTGAAAAACAATGCGGTCTTACTGGAACTCTCATCAACTGGTTATCTTCTTATCTCTCAAACAGAAAACAGATAGTCAAAATTGGTGAAAAACTTAGTACCCCAAGAACCATCAACGCAGGATGCCCGCAGGGGTCGGTCCTGGGACCCCTTCTCGCACTTATCTATCTTAACGACCTATCTGACATCACTAACAACGACATATTATTTTTTGCCGACGACACTACACTTTACAAGACACACCCACACGACCCGACAACTGGACAGGATTCGCTCCAACAAGACCTACACAAAATACAGCAATTCGGCAAGGACTGGACGATAACATTCAATGGTACCAAAACAATACAGCAAACATTCACACACAAACCCTCCCAAACACCACCAGTACTGCACTTTGACGGACAACAAATCCCCTGCGTGACAAGCCACAGACACTTGGGACTGACTATATCGACAGACCTTCATTTCCACCAGCACGTCAATGACACTATCCTCAACGTCAACAGAGCCCTCAGTCCACTTTATCCTCTGGCGAAAATCCTCCCCAGACACATCCTTAACAACATATACCAAATTTATATCCTACCTCTATTCGACTATTGTGACATTGTGTACGACGGACTCCTGACAACTAGCGACTCACTCAGACTTGAAAAAGTACACAAGAGGGCAGCCAGACTAATAACAGGAGCACTCTTCAGGACACACACACAGACTCTACTAGAAGACTTAGGGTGGACGACACTGGAAACGCGACGAGGCCTCCACAAACTAACGACATTCCATTCATTCACCCACAACAGACATCACTTACCCGCAGCTATCACCTCACTCATACCTGACACAAGAGCACACACAACAGGAAGACCACTGCGAAACGCAACATCTCTAACATTGCCCCCTAACAAAACCACAGCATACCAGAAATCCTTCATCCCTTCATCCATCAGGATGTGGAACCAACTCCCACCTGAGGTGACCTCAATCCAATCCTCCCGATCCTTCAAGCGTGAAATACACCAGCGCTGTGGCGCAGCTTCGCCGCAGTTTTACTACGATCTTGGTTCCAGATCAGCGAACGTGTTTCATGCAAGGTTAAGAATGGGCTTATCCCAACTGAACGCACACTTATTCAAAATCCATAGCCGTAATACTGATAGTCCTGTTTGTCTCTGTGGTCATCTAACTGAAGATATAAAACATTTTGTCCTTCACTGTCCTCTCTATCGTGACATAAGGACCCAAATGATTCATGAAACTTTATTCATCATTCCAGAATTTTCTAACCTAAGTCAAGAGCAGCAAATCACTGTCTATCTCAAAGGAATTAACTTAAATGAGCGAGAACAACAGCAAATTGCAAACATTTTCCAACGATTCATCCTTAACACCAAACGCTTTTCATTTTAGATTCCTTGGCGGGCGCCGGCAGCTGACGGCGGCTGATGGCGGACCTGGGCGTATGCCGCTGCGTGGACGGCGGCCGCACCTCGTTCGACTTTGCCTCTGCTTACCGGGCGGGGTGCGGCCGGCGGCTGCGCGGCGGTGGGCGCCCGGTTTGCCTATACGGACGGGCTGTGTGGGTGGCGGGAGGGGTGCTGGTCGGTGTCCGGAGGCGGTCGTTTTATCTTTGATTTATTTTCGGTATTCTGTTGGAGAGGTACCTTGAGTTAAGCAGTTTTGCTTTTGTGCCAATCCATCTGTATCATCATCTCACAATGCATGTCCATGATCGAAAATAAATAAACAAACAAACAAACAAACAAACTTTCAGGTCAAGAAAGGTCAAATTTTGAAGTTAAAATTTTTCATCAAAAAAGTTGTCTATAGGATGCAGTTTGAGCTCAGGAACACGATGGTGCTATTTATATTGGTGTACGATGTCAAATACGTACTGAAAAATTGATTTGAAAAATCAATAATTGTGAATTTTTTGCAATAATGCGTATAACTTGTCATTTTTGAAGATATTTAGCTAAAACTTGCTAGAGTTAGTCATAAGCATGCGTTCTGTCACATATATTCCGTTTTTTTTCGAAAAGTCAAAAACTTTTTGAAAAAATATAAAAATATAAATTTTGAATATTTTTATATAAAATTTTCAAAATTTTCAAAATTTTGAAAAACCGAGATAGCAGTTTGATAGCCCAGTCAATTCTGAGTCCTTTCATGCAAAGAAATTGGTTCTAGCTTAAAAACTGAGCTCTTGGGAGCGATTGCCGTGGTTCAATGTTTTGCGTCGGCCGAACATGACGTCACTCTGACGTCATTTCCGGCCGACCTATGGTAGCTACGAAGTTCAAATTTTGACACAAGGTGTCAAATTGATGCAGCCGAAGGTACTGAAAGTTTGGCGTCGATACGTCAAGTGGTTTGGAAGTTATTGCAGAAAAACTGGAGAGGGGGCTATGAATAGCCCCCCCCCCCCCCAGTGGGGCGCGGGTTAAAGTTGATACACCTTTTTGGATCGGCAAGAACAGCCCGCAAAAGTCAATTGAAGGTCTCCTCGTGCACAAGACACGCCATTTCGTTCGCTTTATTCGAACACTGGCGGATCTACGGCGCCTTTGGGGCTTATCTCTCCCCCCCCCCCCCCCGTGAGCGCCCAAAATCGATAAAGTTTGTTGTTGTTGTTTTTTTAGAATAAAAAAGAAAACTTAGCGACTGTTGTCGAGAAAAGTTTGCTTTAAATTGCACAAGGGTGTGTTAGGAATCGAAATGCAAGGAGTTTTCGGATTATTGAGAAACATATTTGGCGTATGCACTATGCACTATGCTCCCCCTCCCATGAAAGCATCTTGAATACCGCCTAGGGCACGTAAGCCAAAGAGCTATTAAATGCACTTTCACGCAATGTTGTAGCTGTTTAGTTCACAAATAACTCGAGCAAATAAGACAAATAATCCAAAAACTTCAAAATCAGGATGACTGAACTGCCGCCTATGTCTGTGACTGTTAAAATTTTGTCTGTGACATATAGCATCTTCTGTGACAAAGTAGCGCGTGCTCGCATGTCTGAGCAGCGAGGACAGGTATTCTCACAACACACATTCTGACAAAGCGCTGAAACGGCCTAGATGTGGTCCCTGTTGACGAAAAAAAACATCCCTAAGGGTGCAAACTATGCCTCAGATGAATTTAGAGCCTTGACATCGTAATTCGTAATGTTGAACGTCGTAAATCGTAATGGTTACTCATTCCATTATCGGTTCAACTGATCGCAGCCAAAAATTTTCATATATTCTTCTAGAAATAGTATTTTTATTGCCTCTGCTCCAAGTAGCACACAGTTGTGTTCAGTGACCGATGGATTGCTCTCAATGAATCAAAAACTGACATTTCGCCACTGTGGCAGCCAGGTGTCGATCCACCCTCCCTCGTAAATGTGCTGCGAGGCCATCACTCATGGCCGTCCGCCCAGTGTCGGCGAGCGCAGATGTCTGGCTGGGACATCAGTCATCAATCCCAGACAGTACAAGACAGAGAGGGAGGGGATAGACGGCAGGCCAGATAGACGGGAGGGGACAGATGATAGACGGTACACGGTAGGGCAGACAGACTACAGACGCTCTACTACAGACTTGTAGACTGCAGACGGTAGACGGTAGGGCACAGAGACTACAGACGCTATACTACAGACTTTTAGAGTGCATACGGTAGACAGTAGGGCAGACAGACTACAGACGCTATACTACAGACGGCAGAGGATAAACGACAGACTGCAGACAGACTGCAGACATTAGGGCAGACAGATTGCAGACAGTAGGGCAGACAGACTATAGACGCTCTACTACAGACTTGTAGAGTGCAGAAGGTAAACAGATTGACTGGGTACCGACGGCAGACTGTACGTGGCATACTGAGAATGCCCGGCAGGGCAGACAAATTGCAGACAGAAACAGTCCAAACGGCAGACGATACACTACCAACAGAAGGACGTAAGAAGGAACACCGCAAGCGGCAGGCCAAACACCGCATAATGGCACACGGCATGAGACAGATGAGACGTGTTGGGCCCAATCTCACCAAGTGCGGTAAACTCAATTTTGGGGTAGTTTTTTTTGTAGTTACGTAGTGGGGTAGTTTGGTAGTTTACCCCAAATTGCGTTTGCCGCACGGTGAAATTGTGCTGTAATCCGATGACTGTGGAGGATGAACAAACAAGTTGTATACGGACAAACCACATACAATAGACGGAGCACCGCAGGCAACAGACTGCAGCCCAAAAGACTACAGACTGTAGAAAAGTTCAGGAAAACCAGCGGAAATTTTCCTATGCGCGGAAAACTAAAGAGATTAGAAGACAGGTAGCAGTCTGCACAACACATTTTTTTTTTATAAATTTCGTCCGAACCTTTTGATGGGAAGGATTCACAAGGACAGAGCCACCGCTAAGCGAAGCTTGTTGCGATGACCCTGCCCTCTACCCTCCGATCGCGCAATTCCGATTCTATGGCAGAATTTAGAGTCCAAAGTCTAACGTGCGCACAAAGCCGCGTACGGCCGGTCCCCTCGCTGACTTCGCCTGGCTACGGCTTGGCACCAACCGCAACCATAACTGTCAGGAAGCCCATAAATGTCGAGCGCCCGTCGCGCTTCGAACCCGGACTGTCATAACCGGGAACGCGTGCTCTCACCACGCGGAGTCCAACTCTCTAACCAACGGAGCTACGGGACCGGCTTAATACAACATATCCCGACAACAAACAGCACTAGAGCTGCCCGACAACACGCCGCCACTGCAGAACATACCTGGAGTAGTAGAGGTCGTTTTGGTCGCGCGTCAGCCGGCTTCCATCCACGTTGAGGGCAATTTGTTCGCCCTTGCTGGAGTCGTAGCTGGAGCTGTTGGTGTCCACTTCTAGCGAGAGCTGCAGCTGGTGCTGCGTCGGTTTCAGCTGAGCCTGTAGAGGGGACAGGGCGAAATGTCGGGGGTTAGAGGTCAGCTCACTTGTCAGTAGTATAAGCACAGAGGGATGCAACTGATTACAGCTAGCAATAGGAATAGTTCATGCTTTTTACACAGATTTCCCTAGCATTTTGAAAGAACTGCATGAATGGCATGAAGTTGAAAAAGTTAACTTAAATTTAACTTGAATTAAGAATTTAACAGAAGCATGAAATATGAAAATGGTCCAGCCAAAAATCTCACGGCTCACACCGCCATTTCCATTTTGATAAGAATATGTTACTTTGTGTTTGTGGGTAAATCCGAGTGTCTACCTTAGTAAAGTGGGCATGGTCTTAAGTCGCCTAGCCGTGGTCGTGATAGGAGCGACCTTAGGTCATGTGGGCGTGTCCTTACCTCCAGGAAGTGGGCGTGGTCGTATGTCATGTGCGCCGGCCGCACTGGGTACTGCAGCACCCAGAGCTTGTCCTGCAGACCCTTGGACAGGAACACCGGCATCTGGCAAAAAAACAGTGTGATATCCTTAGCAGGTCTTGACATCTTAGCATTCTTGGCATCTAAAACCATTATCCATTTTCCATGTGCATTAATTTCAGCACTATGAAATTTTGTCACCATTGCGACATGTGTATTTGCATTAACCATCCCCTCCAGACTCCAGAGTTTTACTGGGATCCTTTCAAATGTTGTACCTATTGGCAGTGGTGGTAAAGTGACAATTAATCACAACGAAGCTCCACCAGTGCCTAGCTGGCACTTCTTACCTCTGAAACGACCTCATCGTCTTCATCTGCATCCTTCTCCTTCTTGATGAGTGGAGCCTGCATTTCCCTGCTTTCTCAATGCCTGTGGCAAAGGAAACGTTTATGAAAGAAAAGCGAATAAATGCTCACCATAGTAGATGCTCACCATTATGCTCAACATAGTACATAGGAAAGAGGCATAGGAAGCTGATGCTCATAGGATGCTGCCTCTTCTCAATGTCATATGACGGTCGCATCTGTATCTGTTTTTGAATGCGATGATGCTTGGACTCAGTAAAATGTACAGGTCTCGCGGGTTTTAGCGGTAGGTTTTGCACCTAGAAAATTTAGTGTACTTCAGGCTATATCTTCGTCGTCGTCGTCTTAACCCGCGCCCCACTGGGGTCTGCGTATAACACGCCCTACTGGAGGGGGGCTCTTCATAGCCCCCCTCTCTCCTAACTCCGAAACTACTGGGCCGATCGTCAAAATTCAAACGGCGTCTGATAGCCCCGGAGAAACTGTCGAACGAAACCTAATTTCATTGACCTCGAGGTCACCGATGACGTCACAGGTCAGGTCAAAGTAAAAATTATTAGCATTTTGGCTTGTTCACCTTTTGGGCTCTGGCCGCCGTCTTACAAGTCAGATCAGGCTCATTTTTGGTATACACACTCGTGAACAGACGTTCTAGATACCCTGAGGGTACCAAACTTGTACTTTGATTTTCAGGTCAGGGTCAGGTCATCACAGGTCACGGAAATATTATATCATGCGTCGGTCACGTGACACATGTTTTATGGTCCATTTAGGCCATAGATTTCGAATTTGATGTCGTCTGTGTCATTCGAGGTCATTTTGAGTCGGATTTAGCTTAGGTCAGGTCACTTTCATGTCAAAAAAGGTCAAATTTTGAAGTTTAAAATTTTCAACAAAAAAGGTGTCTATTGGATGCAGTTTGAGCTCAGGAACACGATGGTGCTATTTATATTGGTGTCTGAAAAATTGATTTGAAAAATTAATAATTGTGATTTTTTTTTGCAATAATGCGTATAACTTGGTCATTTTTGAACATATTTAGCTAAAACTTGCTAGAGTTAGTCATAAGCATGCGTTCTGTCACATATATTCCGTTTTTTCGAAAAGTCAAAAACTTTTTGAAAAAATAAAAAATATAAATTTTGAATTTAATTATATTAAATTTTCGTAATTTTCAATATTTTGAAAATCCGAGATAGCAGTTTGATAGCGCAGGCAATTCTAAATCCTTTCATGCAAAGAAATTGGATCTAGCTTAAAAACTGAGCTCTTGGGAGCGATTGCCGTGGTTCAATGTTTTGCGTCGAAATCGGCCGAACATGACGTCACTCTGACGTCATTTCCGGCCAACCTATGGTAGCTACGAAGTTCAAATTTTGACACAAGATGTCAAATTGATGCAGCCGAAGGTACTGACAGTTTGGCGTCGATACGGCAAGCGGTTTGAAAGTTATTGCAGAAAAACGGGAGGGGGCTATGAATAGCCCCCCCCGTTGGGGCGCGGGTTAAGCTTAATTTTAAGTGTTGAAGATTCGTTGCATACAATATCATGCAAAGGTCAAGGTCATGGTCAGGTCAGGTCACCAAAAACGAAATATAGAAAAGGGCATGTGCGACACATGTTTTATGGTTCATTTTATTCATAGAATTCAATAGGCACACTCAATAAGTGATATGAACCACATCTGGATGAATTTCAGGTCGAGGTCAGGTTAGGTCAGGTTAAGTGAGGTCAAATTTTGAAGTTGATTGTTAACAACCAACTTCAAAATTTGACCTCACCAACCAACTTCAAAATTTGACCTCACTTAACCTGACCTAACCTGACCTCGACCTGAAATTCATCCAGATGTGGTTCATATCGCTTATTGAGTGTGCCTTGTTAACAACCAACTTCAAAATTTGACCTCACTTAACCTGACCTAACCTGACCTCGACCTGAAATTCATCCAGATGTGGTTCATATCACTTATTGAGTGTGCCTATTGAATTATTGTCTTGGTAGCCTAAGAACACGTTTTGGGCAATCAGTCTCAGTCCATTCTTCGGCAACTACGGTGCAAGGCCGATGCTGTAGAAACTTGCATTTAATACCCTTGACCTGACCTTGACCTGACCTCAGACCTATTTCAGCAAAAAAATGGGCTCTTTAAGATCCACCTTGTTGAGAGCTTTCGATTGCCGTTTCCCCGTCTTTCTACGACCATCGGTTCGGAAGTTAGACAGGGGGGCAGAATCTGCCCCCCCCCGCAGGGCGCGTATGGCTTAATAGCCCAGCAGGGCGCGGGTTAAAATACATACTTATCATGATATTGAAGTTCATAATGGAGATGTTTTTATCTTGCCTGAAACGATCTCTTGTGCTTTCCAAGGCGTTGCGTTGCAAATTTGCATTAAAAATAATATGCATAATTAAAAAGCAGGTTCTGGGGAATTCACCGTCTTCTGCTTCCTTCGCTGAAAACGTTCGTCCAAACCAGCAAAATGACCTTTCTTCGACAAAATCTAATTTCGAGCGCAGTATCGTCAATTAAACAGGTGCAGTGCATGACGCTGAGCCATGCAGCGTTAACTCCGACTCCGGAGTCGGAGTCGGTAAGATTTTGGCGACTCCAACTCCGACTCCGACTCCGGGCAGAACTGTCGACTCCGACCGACTCCGAATCCGACTCCGACTCCGCAGCCCTGTTTCTGAGATATAACCGGAAATGTAAAAGTGCAAAACCTACCGCTTAATCTCGCGAGAGCCGTACAGATAGTCTCCCTGAATTTAACAATAGGGTACATTCTGTCCCACTCTGAATCCCATCCCACAATCCACATCCTCCCACTTTGACCTAATCGTAAGAGCAGGGGCTCTCCGCGGCCCGCCACCCAGTGCACGGTGCATGGCGGATTTACTGTGCGGAATTTGCGTGGAGTGGTAGGGACTCTGAGTACTACCTACTGTGCTGAACCGTGTGCTGCACATTATTGTCTGAGAATATGATGCACAGGAGACTCAATGGCCCATTATATTGGCCAGGCAGGAACAGACCTTTTATTGCAGTTGCCACTTTTCACAAGTGTATATTCTAAGCTCTGTACACCACAAATGCGAACATCCCTGGTTCATACATACCTGTAATAGTCATTCGTTCTGTACGAAAAGTTCAACATTTGGTTTTGTTGGGATTCATAATGATGCGAGTCTGTCACCCTTGCTGATGCGTCTTTTCATCTAAGTACCTACCCAATTGCAACACTTTGCAGTCTCGAGGTGGAGTTAAGTAATGAGAAGAGTTTATAACTGTGTGAATTATAAGATTTTAACTTCCTGCAATACAATACTCAGACTTAGATGATTAACCATCGTCGGCCGAGGGGAGGGGGGCGGGTGCCGCCCCCCCCCCCCCAATAGTTTTTTTCGCGCTAGCTCCGAACACGCCGGCGATAGAGAGCTGAAACTTTGCATACCTGACCTTTGATTCAAGCCGGACCTTTTGACACCAACCGCATTTTCAGGTCAGGTCAGGTCACTGACCTATGGCGTCATAAGTGAACTTCTGCAGTCTTCACAGTCTTCAGATGTCGCAACTTCGCAACGCCCTCACTGCCAGAGGAGCTTTCACAGGGAAATGAAACTTGCAGGACCTAGTATGCATTAGGAGTCTCACAACTTATATATCTCGGATTTTTCCTAAAGGTCATACTGGTCATACGAGGTCAGGTCATTTTAATGGCCTCACCATTATAAGTCAATGGGGGAAAAATGAAAACTGCTATTCTGGCGCCAGGAACGATCTCCAACTATCTAAAGCACACAGAATCGTGATTTCATGCACTCCTTGCAAAATTTGATGCGTCACTTTTGCAATGTTAACCTTGTGTGACGTCATTTATGACGTCATTAGGGTCATATTAGTTTTCCGTCAATAACTCCCTATCAAATTAAGGTAACGAGTCGGGAAAGCAACCAATGGACTCAGGAAGACCTGCCAAATCAAATGCTATGCGACATGACCTCATTAGACCAATTTCGTGACCTGACTGGGACCCGAGGTCAACACCATAAGCTGACCTCACCCAAACAAAAAGTAGGCATATCATTTGACGCGCCCGAGCAAGGCGAACACGATGCTGCCAAAATCGTGGCTCTGCAGCAGTTTTTGGCGAGGTTATTCACCAAAAACGGAGCCGTACCTTGGGGCACTTGACGGTATCGGTAAAGCTGGCGTCACCGTCGGCGGTAGGTAGTTTAGATTGTAGGTTGGTAGGTTGTAGGTTTGTAGGTTGGTGGGCTGTAGGTTAGTAGGTAAGGTTAGGTCAGGTTAGATTGTATATTACTCTAACTTCATCTACACATATACTGGTTAGCGGCGACGGTCACACCAGCTTGCGCCAGCTTTACCATTACCCACTTGACCTGACCTCAGAAGTCACCACTTGACCTAGGACCTTAAAATCGGGCACTAATATCTGCGCCTCCTAACAGCGCACATACTGGCTTTTCCACAGCGCGCTAGCTCAACCGCAAAGTACGGCTCGCAGGTCGACGAGGTGCACCGGCCCACGTTCAAAATCCGCACCAATCCTTACAGAGCCGGAAAATCCGCACCAAAGAGTACAGTCTGAGAGTACAAAAAGATCTGCACTGGACCCGCTACATGAATCGGGCGCATCTCGTTTACGAAAGCTGCCGAATGCAGAACGCAACAAACTCAGATTCTTTCAACGCAACCCGTTAGCTGCGTCGAACGTACCCGATAAATTGTTTGCATTTGACTGCTTGGAGCGGCAGAGCGGTGATTTTCTGGCCCTCTCATCGGTCGTACAAATCTTGAATCCCTCTCATCGGCCGTGCTCAGCTCATCTCTCTCACTATACCGCCGTCCGCCAGCGCCTCGCAGAGACGTGCAACAGTGCAAAGAGGGCGAGCTTATGGGCATCCCACGTGATTAATGGGACCACCAGCACTGTCAGTCCGCTCTGACCACCACACACTCATTTAGACCTGAGAGCACACTGAATTACGAGAGCAAACTGAATTACGTGATGTTGAAGCTCCAACAATGTTTTTTCTCTCGATTTTCCTCATCTATCTCGTCTGGTCTGTCATGTCCGTCACCAAGTCAATTCCGCACCGCACTTCACTAAATCCGCACCACATCAAGCCAAATCTGCACTGTACGGCCAGACTGCAAAATAGGGCAATTTCGATGAGATCTCGTCGGTGCGGGCTTGTTCGGCTGGTGCGGATTTTGGAGTGGTGCGGTGCAGATCTGGCCTGGTGCGGTGCAGATTTGGCTTGGACCAACGCTTGGACCTTGGTGCGGTGCGGACTGCAGACTTCGCGTGGTCTTCTTACCCGGTCGGGTTCCCTTGTTGACTGTTCTTTGGAAAGCCCTACAAATGCGTGTCAGCCACGGTCAGTGGTGGTGACTGGTATGTCACATTAGTGAGCAGCTGGTTTGGATTGCCAATCAGCACGCTACTTGGGAATGACGTCATTGGTTTCACTCATACAAATTACGAAAGTTTGTTAGGGCTATTTGATCAAGGCTCGTGAAATTCACATGTGACATTTAGCATGTAGAAGGCCCACAGAGGGGGAGAAGTCCCAAATGTCACACGACCCAATATGCCCTCCGGCGCCCTATTTTCACCTGCGTCCGTCTATTTGCTCTATTTCAAACTTACGGTACAAGTGCGCGGCGCGGTCCTGTGGTGAGCGTTGCTCAAGCGGTAAGTGAAACTGAAATTGGATGGGAAATAATTATAGTGAGATGAATAAAGTCCCTTGCATTATAATTGCCTGTGGGTTCGGTGCTGGTGCGGATTTTTTGGGCTCTCAGCCCGCTTTGGTGCGGATTTTCCGGCTCAGTTTGAAGAGTTGGTGCGGATTTTGAACTTGGGCCGGTGTGCCTCGTCAACCTGCGTGCCATACTTTGCAGTCTGACCGTATGGCGCACCGCACCAAACCCGCACCAGCCGAACAAGCCCGCACCGATGAGATCTCGTCGAAATTGCCATACTTTGCAGACTGGGCTCAACCAGGGGCAAAAGGGCAAGGGGGTAGGGTCATACCCGCCCCCCCCTCGGCCGTCGCATATGCAGAAAACCAATAGGTCACTCCACCTACCGCTCCACGCAAATTCTGCACAGCACCGCAGTAAATCTGCATCTGCACCACTGCATGGTGCAGTTGGTGCACTGGTTCAGGTTGGCGCCTAGCCCCTGAGGTCCGGCGAGCAACACCACGTGACACGTGACATGTGGTCGTGCAATTGTGGAGCAGCTCAACCGTGGTGCCTACAGCTATTGATTCACTCTCTGAGGATTCCGAGCAAAAGTTCATGCTAATCTTACGTCTATTTCCAGCAGAATCAGGTAAACGTTGATACCGAATGCGATGCAGTAGTGCAAGCAAAGTTGAAGCGGTCTGGGAACGCACCATTCAGGAACAACCACTGCACTCTATTGTGGCGGAGTTCCCTGTGGCGGTATATAGGGCCTTGCCTGTGGCTGTGGGACATCAACACAACGCAAACGATCATGCTTGCGACAGTATTGGCGCTGCTGTTTCAATCGAAGCCTAAAAACGAAACTTTTGCTCTAAAATGAGATAGTTAGAAAATGAGATAGCTTTCTTCACAAACTAGCAAATCAAGAATTTATTCATGCGTTTCAAAGTGCTTACTTGTGCAGATAATTTTACTTAATTTCGAAGATTTTTTATAATTTGTATTTGACGTTTATTCGTGACAGGTATTATGTAAAATATGTAGGCAATGCTAAAGTTCTTATGACGTCATTTACAAAATCTGACTGTTAGACTAGCTAGGCAGTGATATAAATCATCCAACTTTCATCGTAACATCGTAACCCTACCATTCACAACAAAAGGCCATATAACCAAAATATATATTGCCAAAATATCCAAAATATATATTGCCAGATTCACAAACTTCCTCCTTCCCTCCCCTCACAAACATCAATTTAACGGTAAGTTTCACTGTCATTTATGTGTCTTAACGTAAATTCATGGGTTTTTTCCCCATATTCATGGCATAGTACATGGATATGGGTTTTCCCATGTCAATGTTGTCTTGCAGTAAAAGTGGCCACCGGTCTTAGTTAGGACGGCCTGTTTCTTTTGCGCGGCGTAGTTAGGTCGCCGCCCTCCTCGCGAGGCCGTTAACGTAAGTTAGGGCCACCAAAAAAAAAAAAATCCCATATTGAAGCAAGATTGAAGTCTCTAGTTTGAAGCGTTTGAAGTTGAAGCCCTCAAATGGAATAGTTAGACCACTGAGCTAGTATCTATGACTGTGCCACTGAGCATTGAGTTGGAATTGATTGAGATATTCTTCTTTTCGCTGTGTAGATGTTAAATATTTTTCAGTGAGAATTAGCGTCTAGTAGCCAGGGGTCGGAGAGGGATTATTTGTGTTAATATCATTCATTCTATTTTTTCTGCCTACTTGGAGGTTATTAGAATATTTGATCATTGGGTTTGTCATACTCATAGCCTTATGGCAATGTGGCCTCTGTCTGTGAGCTTGGACGCTTACCTTTTTAACTTAATCCGCACCCCACTGGGGGGCTATTTATAGCCCCCCTCCCGTTTTTCTGCAATAACTTCCAAACTGCCTGACGTATCGACGCCAAACCCACAGTACCTTAGGCTGCATCAATTTGACACCTTGTGTCAAAATTTGAACTTCGTATATACTATAGGTCGGCCGGAAATGACGTCAGAGTGACGTCATGTTCGGCCGATTTCGACGCAAAACATTGAACCACGGCAATCGCTCCCAAGAGCTCAGTTTTTAAGCTAGATCCAATTTCTTTGCATGAGAGGACTCAGAATAGACTGCGCTATCAAACTGCTATCTCGGATTTTCGAAATTTTGAAAATTTGGAAAATTAAATATAATAAAATCCAAATTTTATATTTTTACATTTTTTTTCAAAAAGTTTTTGACTTTTCGAAAAAAAAACGGAAATATGTGATAGAACGCATTATTATGACTAACTCTAGCAAGTTTTAGCTAAATATCTTCCAAAATGGCCAAGTTTTACGCATTATTGCAAAAAAATTCACAATTATTAATTTTCAAATCAATTTTTCAGCACGTATTTGACATCGTACGCCAATATAAATAGCAGCATCGTGTTCCTGAGCTCAAACTGCATCCAATAGACACCTTTTTTGTTGAAAAATTTCAACTTCAAAATTTGACCTTTTTTGACCTGAAAGTGACCTGACCTAAGCTAAATTCGACTCAAAATGACCTCCAATGACACAGACGACATCAAATTCGAAATCTTGGACCTAAATGGACCATAAAACATGTGTCACGTGACCGACTCATGATATAATATTTTCGTGCATGGGTGGAGAACCTGCCCCGGCCACCCCGGCCGTGGCCGGGGTAACTTTCAGCCGACCCCGGCTCGGCCGGGGTAATTTTTTCCACTTTTGTAAATCCTAAAAGCTGTCTCCATAGTCCATACGAAAAAAAAACTGTCATCTATAAAAGCGTCTCTCATTATTCTTATTTACCTTGAAAAGTTCTTGAAAATTTACTTTATTTTCGTTTTGGAGCTTCTATGTTTTTAAGTCTTTTCGTCGTGGAGCCCGACATGTTTCATCAAACAGAAGTAAATCATATTTAAGGGCCGTTATCGTAAGATGGCACTGTAATAACATCACAAGACAGGACGAGGGTAATATCAGTGAGATAGAAGGACGAGCTGCTGGGGCTCAAGGCTCCCCCAACTTAACCCGCGTCAGGGTGGTGGCCTTATCGTAACACGTTGAGTCGAGAGGTGGGCTTTTCACGCTCCTTCTAACCAGACATGGGCACGGATCCCAGACGACCAAACGCGAAAATCAAGATGGCCACTAGATTAGTGGACTTTAAGCATGGAATTATGGTGGAAAACATGGCTAATAGATGCCTCTCAACGAACCAACTATTTTGCATTCCCTCAGAGTTCACAGTTTTGAGAAAATCCCTCAAGATCCATCTCGGATCCATGGCCACGAATCATGGATCCGAGATGGATCTTGAGGGATTTTCTCAGAACTGTTAACCCTGAAGGAATGCAAAATAGTTGGTTCATTGAGAGGCTTCTATGAGCCATGTTTTCCACCATAATTTCATGCTTGAAGACCGTCAATCTAATGGCCATCTCGATTTCCGTGATTGGTTGTCTGGGATCCGTGCACATGTCTGCTTCTAACTCGGCTACTGGGCTACGAGGCGAGAAGCGGAACGACGTTTGAAAGAGCGACAAACGTGACCAGAGAAATCTGGTCATGTTTTAGGCAAGCTCAATAATAAAATCACCATAGATCATCAAAAGCCAAATTTATCTAGCGTTCTCCGACAACTTTTCTCACAGTTCATGAACATAACGGAGCTTAAACACTGCAAACAAAACATTCGATTACTTGTTTAAGGCTCGGTCGCGAATAATATTTCAGGTGCGAGCTCAAATCAATAAGAGGGTCAAAACGGTCAAATTTGACATTTTGTTTTGTGTGGGAAGGTTGCAACTTATACGGAATAAGCTTTGCAAAGGGCATGATGGCATTTTTAGCACGATCATCCAGTAAATTTGACTTGATGACCTGACCTAGCACTAGGTGACATGCGTCCGAAATTTTAAGGCGTGTTGCAAAATTGTTGTTACAATTACGAAATCTTCCGCACCTGCGTGCAGCAGTTTTCCCTAAAAACGTACAAACGGCAGACATCCATTATTCTATGCCACAGAATAGGGGTTTGTTGATAACCGTTGACAAATATTTGAGCATCATCGTCTTTCTGACTTTCGGTCGCCGGCCGGGGTAACTTTTTCAAACATTCTCCACCCGTGTTTTCGTGACCTGTGATGACCTGACCTTGACCTGAAAATCAAAGTACAAGTTTGACACCCTCAGGGTATCTAGAGCATCTGTTCACGAGTGTGTGATCCAAAAATGAGCCTGATCTGACTTGTAAGACGGCGGCCAGAGCCCAAAACGTGGACAAGCCAAAATGCTAATAATTTTTACTTTGACCTGACCTGTGACGTCATCGGTGACCTCGAGGTCAATGAAATTAGGTTTCATTCGACAGTTTTTCCGGGGCTATCAGACGCCGTTTGAATTTTGACGATCGGCCCAGTAGTTTCGAAGTTAGGAGGGGGGGGGGGCTGTGAATAGCCCCCCCCCCCCCCCCCAGTAGGGCGTGTTATACGCAGACCCCAGTGGGGCGCGGGTTAATTATTTTCAAAGTGTGCCACTTAATCAACGGTACCTAGTAATCTCATGTTTAGTTTGACAAAACTGTTAAAATTGGATTTGGGCCTTGGGTAATGGGTAAGCATATCACATTTTGAAGTCTTTGTCTATGAATTCCCATGAATTCTGACACAGGTGATACTACTCCAGTAATCAAAAAGCCATTTACACTCTGTTTGTATCTGAATTGTTGCTAAGTTTTATTCTTATGTTTGCCTTTCATCATCATACCTATAAGAGGCAACTGTAGATAACTTGTGTGAATTAGTATATGCAAAGGTGCCATAGTAAGAACAAAGTGGTTTTATGTTAATTTGCTGTGAATGTTTGTTTCAGAATTAAGATGAGTCTGTTTCCAGCTTATTCAGCAGATGTACAAGAAAAAGATGAAAGTAAGGAAAAAGATGACCAAGCATGGCTGGCAAATGGAAGCTTTCAACCAGGGGAATCTCACATTACTAGTGCTGCATCTGTTACAAAATACTCAAGCAGTCAGGGGTCTCCTGTGTGTTCAGCTCTCATCCCGGATACAACCTGTGCGACTTCACAAGTGCCTGATGACAGTACAGCAAAACGATCTCCACCAAGAGCTGAAAAACACCGCCGAAAACACAAACGGCAACGTTCCCGCAGTCGCAGCCGCTCACCGTCAAAATCTCGGCACAAACGTCACAAGAAGCGCCGCCGTCGAGAGGAGCACAGCTCTCCTCCCCCGGCTCCCGCCGAGTCGCCTCCACTGAAAGGCGTCTTTCTGGAGGACGCTGGTGTTCGTCCGGAGTCGGCGTTCTCCGTGGATCGTCGGCCGGACCGCGCCGCGCGCGCTTTTCCGGAGATGTACCATCACCATGTGGCGCGCTATGTTCGTCGTTTGGCGGGAGTTCTAGGCCGACCTAGAAGGGACCGACGCTCCGTCGCCTCCGTCGCGAGATATCACGACCGCCACTGGAGACGTCGTTTGCGACGCGTCGCTTCCAACACCTTACCACTCGCGACGCTTCCGATGGGTCATTCCTTCGTGACGCTATCCGTCCGTGCGGTCTCTCCCCCGCCGGAGTCTGCCTCCGACGGCTCTGACTACCTGCGCTCGGTGCGTGCCGAGTGTCCTCTGGGTCCGCCGGACCGCGACACCGCAGAGCTGAACCGGCTGGTCTCAGAGCGGCCGGGGGACGCCTCTCTCTGGCTGCAA